TCACTGACTGTTTCTTCTTTTAATTTGTAGTCCAAAAATATTTATATGTTTTACTAATTGTTTCCTCTCCTAGCCATATTTTATCTAATTCTTCTGGGGTCATATTAAAGCCAAATTGTTCTCTATCTTTTTTATAATGGGTTTGTATTGGTGCAAAGGGCCACCATGCCATCTCCTTTCCTTGAATTTGTATTTGGTTCCTATTTTTAAGCTCTTCAGTATCATATAATAAATCTTAATACCTGACAATATTTTCATAATCCAATACATTTGGATGTGTGACTGCTTCCAATGTAGATAGCCACAATGGAACCTTTGGGTAGTGTTTTTTTTTAATCTTTCCCCAGGTATTGAACAACACATTTCTTACATGGTGCCTTTGGAAATATGAATGTTGTTTAGATTTTCTATCCCACATGAAGGCATGCCAGCCAAGTTGGAGATCAAAACCTAATACTAATAACCTTCTATTTTCTAATTTAATCCAATCCTTAAGCCAGTTTACCATAGCAGCATCATAATATAATTCAAAATCTGGAAGGCCAAATCCTCCTTTTTTCTTGGCATCCTGTAATAATTTATATTTCACTCTGGGTTTTTTCCTCTGCCATATGTTTTTAGATATACATTTGTTTACTTCTATAAAAAAAATCTTTTCCAACTTGATTGGCACTGTCTGAAACAGGAACAACAGTTTTGGCAAAATATTCATTTTTACTATTGAAATATGTCCCAATAGCGATAACTGCAATTTGGCCCAATTATCTAAATCTTTAACTATTTGCATTATTAACTTATCATAGTTATCTTTTTTAATTGACGAACATCTAGCAGTCAACCAAATCCCTAAGTATTTTACTTTACCACCTGCATACCTAATTTATTTGCTAGTTCTTCCTTCTGCTCCTTTGTACAGTTTTTTGTTAACACTTTTTTCTTTGTTAATTTTTAACCCTGCCACCTTTCCGTATTCTTCTATTTCTCTTAGTAGTATAGGGTTCACTTCTAAGGGTTCTTCTAATATAAATGCCATATCATCGGCAAATGCCTGGAGTTTATATTCCTCTTTTTTAATTTTTAGTCCTCTAATCTCTTGTTTTTGCGTAATTTGTACTAAGAGAGTCTCTTCTGCTAATATATACATTAGAGAAGCTAGGGGGCAGCACAACTCCCAAGAATACTCTTACCAACACTGACAAGGCAAGTAACTAGTATATAAAAATAACAAACCCAACTCTCTCCTAGGACTGACGATATTACTAGTTTGCTGAAGTAACATCTGCAAGAAAACCACCAAGCTCAGAGAGCATCAAGTACCCCATAATAATCTATGGTTAATATTTTATTTTGAACTAGGAAAGGTTAATATATATTGGACATAGTGATAAAATTGTGGCATGCAGGTTTTCTTTTTATGTATTGATTTTATTTATTTATTTAGACAATTTATATTGCCACCTACTTGTATTCAAAGCAGCTTACATAAGGACATAAAAACACAATATAAAATAAATAAATAAATAATAATAAAAAAGAAGTGGTAAGCTCCACTTGGTAAGCTTGGTAAGCTCCTGCAGGAATAAGTCCTCCCAGATTCCGGATTTCTTGTTGAGTCACCATCAGTTGCTTCCTGGTTGTTCTATTGCAGGAGTCTCCAAACTTGACAACTGTTAAATTTGTGGAGTTCTGGGAGTTGAAGTTTACAAGTCTTAAAGTTTGGCAAGTTTAAAGAGCCCTGTTCTACTAGTGCATTACCTTGATTTGCAGGTTCTGGAGTTCAACCTGGCTACATTATTTCACACAAATAGGATCCTCATTGTTGGGATGTCTCCATTAAGGAAACAATTCTAACTGTTCCAGTTTAGAGAATATCTACATTTCTTTTAGACAAAATTATTCAGGAACAATATTTCAAATAAAAACTTGTAATTCTTGTCCTAAACTTGTTTCTGTTCTTAAATCTGGGACAGGATGAGTAACAGAGATTTAGTTTTTAGTTTTATGTCCGTTGTTTAGCAAAGGGTCTGTAAAAATTAGGAATAAAACTCTTAAAAGTATATTATTAGTTAATTCTGAAGGATTTGCACCAAAGAACATTTATCCTGAAACAATTGTTATATTTGTTTTGTGTTTAATTTTACCTAGATTGAAAAATTAAAAAATTATCCATTCACATTTAAATCTGCATGCTGCTTTTCTATCCCTAGTTTCACAATTACTTCTTAGCAAGGAACAATCTATTAAGAAACCCAAGTCATAAAGCATAGAAAAGGCAGTAATAAAATAACAGCTGCAGCTACTTTCTCCCATTAATAATAAAGAACAATAATATAAATCCCAAGTACAAATCCTGAGCATTCCCAAATGCTTTGCTAATTTTCCAGTGCCAATATTTTGGAATCTCTAACCCAGGGATAGGCAACTATGGCCCTTTTATGTCCCGTGGACTTCAACTCCCATGCTACTTCAGGAATTCTGGGAGTTGAAGTATACGGGTCATAATAAAAGGCCATAGTTGCCCACCCCTGCTGGGCAGTAATTGGTCTGACTGCCCAAAGATTATCTTGAAACTGATGTATCGTTCCCTGAAGCTGTAATACAGCACATCAGTGTTTGACATGATTACACTAACCCTCAAGTTGTACAACTCACCTTTCTAATATATGGGTATGAAACTCAGTGGTCTCTTTAATTTTATTGCACTTTTGTCCTAGTGCACAATATATTACCATTCTTGATAAATCAAATTTGTTTATCTCATAGATGGCTAAACTACTAACTATTCATGCAGATGTACAGCTTTTGTTAATAAAAAATGGATATTGTAAGATTCCATCAACACATCTTCATACTTGACTTTTGCATTTGTTTATTGAGGGAAGGTGAAGTGTTTTCTTTGCTTTTTGATTCCACTGATGCTCTTTTGGGCCTCATACTACTTTTGAGGATTTCTCAGTTCAAAAGGATGCTAACCTATCTTTTCAGTTTTTAGCAATTGCGTTCAAAGGAAGCCTTGAGTCTGAAACAAAGAAGTTGGTCACAATATTGCTCCAAAATAATATAGTTTAGATTTTATTTTTATTCTGTGGTAAGAATTTCTCTAGTTTAGAAATTCCTTTTGGAGTAGCATTTCAGTGCAGAGCAAAAATGTGATTCATACATCTAGGCAGCAGCTTTGAATGAATGTGAATTTTAATCATGCTTAGTCCTAACTGGGGTCTAGTTTTTATTTTATTTTCAGATATGTCCCTTCCATTTAACCACATGGGAAATATAGAGATAGAAGTATCTTTTTAATTTGGTAGGGAGACAGGTGATTAAAATTTTAGATGATTTTAGTACCAGGATATTGTCTCCTTGATGGGACAGGAGGGGTCAGTAGCTTCAATGACCCTAAGCAGGATGCTTTGACTTTTATCCATTCAGGAAACAAGAAAAAGTCTAATTCAATTACATCCAACTGACCCAAACTTTTACCTCATAAATCAACTGAATTTTAGAAAATGCATTAAAAGAATCTGAGGGATTTGGCTATATTAGCATTGCTATTCTTTTTTTGTCATCATCTTCTCATCTCTTCCTCCTGACTTTGAGAAATTGATTAAATTTGTGATAAATGTATGCTACAGTTGTTAGGAATATGCACTTGGTTTGACACACATTTGATTACAAGTACGACATAAAATAAAACACCATAATATTGTCAATTTTATTGGGAATATAAAACATCTTGAAGAATAAAACCATGTTTACAAGGTAGTGCAAATTATTTTCATACTATTTCTGCACAGTTCATTTTCTATGCACAGACACAAGCATGTATCATATGCATTAGAACCTGGTAAGTCCAACTAAAAATATCTCAGACTTACTACTTAAAAGAAAAAAATAGTAGTGCTTAAAAGTATGTCATCCCAAGCAAATACTGGATTAAAAACATATTTCATCTTAATAAAAAAAACATTAGCCTTTAATAAGCTTTGATTCTAAGAACTGCTTTAGTCAAATGAGATAGAGGTCTAAAAGCAAAACTGTTAAAAAATGTAATCTCTTTATATAAGTAAAATAACTCATTGTATACATAACCAGAATGTCAATGCATAAGTTATACCAGCATGTATTTTGGAACCTACCGTAATGAAAATATTCACATAATCAGTACAGGGAACACATAAGTACCACCGCAGTTAAATATTCTATATTATGGGAAATAGTACTAGTGACATAAAATCAATTAACTAATTTTAAAAAAGGGTGAATTTGTAGAATCAATTAAAAAAGATTCCAACTGGTTTCATTTTTGCTTTTCTAACTAAGAAAGAGGTATAAAATTCTGGATTCAATTGCTTTGATCAATTATTTAAATTAGATTATTCAAAGGAGGTAGCTTATATTTTGAAATAAGTGCTGTACCAAAAAGGCAACTCAAAATTCAGTTGCCAAGAATTATTCCAAAGGACTTCACCCAGTTTTACATTTTATCATCCCCAATGGTCAGAATAAATTGTAATATCCTAACAGTTATTCGTTATTGTTGACAGAAACATATAAATATATGTATATTGAAGTGTGAGGCACCCACATTCTGCTAGGCTGCACAATCCAGTCTAGGATGTGTATTTTACAGTCTACATGCATATTTAATTATTTTTAGGAATAATTTCACTAATACACTTGAAAAGTATCACCTTTTATGTCAATTCTTACAAAATGAAGCAATTAGGAAGTCAGAGCTACAAAATCACAGACATTTCAGAATATTGAACTAGTTTAGGATTACAAGCTAAACATGACTGAGAACATTGCTACCATTAAAACTGAGAGCTGGTTATTTATTTTTTCCATCCATAAATAATTGAATTTATTTTGAGGAATTATATTCTAGATCTATTGCAGATGAAGAGGTGAGATATTATATGCAAAAGAGAAAGAAATATTTTTAGGGGCAGCAATAATTATATTTACTGAGCCATCTAATTAGGACTTTTTTCTGCTAATAAACTCAAGTTTTCCATTAGATGGATTTTGAAAAAAATAAAAATTAGTTTGTTTCTATAAAACTATGCTTTTGGATCAAGTTACAGTAGAGATATAATTCTGAACTACTAAAATGCTGTTTCTCCTGGTTCTTTATAATACAAAGATTTGCAATAGTTAAGCAGCAGAACTATACTGGCCAAAACATAACTGTGAGACCTTTATCCACCTCAACTGGTTAATGCAACAGCTTTTGATGATAGTCAGTCATAAATATTTTAAGTTTCTTGCTTCCAGTAAGATGAACTTCAAGTTTTTAATATTTCTTTTCATTCTTAAAATTAGATACAACTCTATTTACCAACAGTAATCATGGTTTGTCGCCACAATACACATTATTGTGACTGAAACTTACTTGAGCAAGATTGTGGTCTAGTGCATGTTGGCTAGTACAAGGAATGAAACAGCCTCTGAGAACTATCAAATCCCAAAGAAGAAAATGGAATGCAACCAAAGAAAATCCAAGAGACAATCAACAAACATATAAAATGCTGAGGACCATAGACTGGGGGGAGGGAAATGAAATTCTTTGACAATACATATAATTACAACTGTATATGTACTTGTCTGAAAATAAATGCCACTGAATTCATCAAGATTTATTCCTGAGTCGTTATACCTGTTGCAATGCTATCGATTTTATTCTGTTTAATATGAAACAAAAATGTTCCAAATGACCATTCATTCAGTGACCACTAGAATTTGCAACAGTGCTAAATGAGTGGCAGTTATAACCAGTCTTTGAAGTTCCTGTTATTGCAGTGCCCTCGTGGTCACATGGTCACAATCTGGGTGCTCAGCAACCGGCTTTAATTTTTTACCTTTGCAGCCGTCTGCAGTCATGCAATCACAATATGCAACCTTCCCTACCGGCTTCTTACAAGCAAAGTCAATAGAAAAGGCAGCAGGAAGTTCAAAGCTGTAATTACGTGGGGCTCTCGCTTAATGATCCGCATAGTGCTCATTTAATGATGGTAACCAGGGAGCGTGGTTACCAAAGTGGCAGTCATATGACATTGCACTATGATATCACGTAACAACAAAAATTCCAGTTCTAATGACCCTCATTAAGTGAGGACTACCTGCAATCAGGCTTGTGGTATTGTATCTACACAAAACCATTTGATACTGAAGTTATTTGCTCAAGCCAGTTTTAAAATGCAAAAATAGTAAAACTATCATTATAATTTCAATTATAAATTTGGTGCCCAACAATACAAAAAATATTATTAAAAAATCCCAGCTTATAGGCTTCATTTTACTTGAGGTGTATGGGTTCAAGATTGTATTGCATTATAGTTCAATTTCAAATAGAATAATTTCCACCCCTTCCAGTGTGTTTAATTTGAATATGTACATTTCCTTTAAATGGAAAATGTAAAAGATCTTGAAAGCAAACATAAATTTCATTCCTTCAATAAACACTCGTGTGATTGAAGTTCCTCTTGTCTTGATCAACTTTGTGTCATGGTTTTTAAAAACTAACCTCCAAAACAAACTCAACTACTAAGAAAAAAAACATCTATATGTAATAAGATAATGGTCAAGTTATTCTAAATCTAATTACTTTTTGCTGAACGGAAGAAGGGCTTGGGGAGAACTCAGTAGGATTACAGCTTTACTGATTAAATCAATTATTTCATTCTACTTTTGGGAATATGGGAGCAACTGCTTGCCATGAATCTTGAAGAATATTCATGAATTTCCAGTTTTAGTGTTGCTATTTAAAGAATAAACTAATATTAAATAAAAAGTACTGTGTAGACCCATCACTAATAAAAACCATTCTTATTAAAGAATAAACTAACTTTAAAGAAAAAGAACTGTGCAAACATATCACTAATCAAAAATATTCCTATTAAAACCAGTGATTAACCTGGAGTGAGAACCTTAAAAGTAAAACTTTAAATACGACAATTTACATATCTTTATATACAGTACAATATAGAATGATAACAAATATAAATCCTTTAAGAACTGTGCTTTTAAACATATCCCCAATCTTTTCAAAATCCCAAAGGAAACATTAAATGTTTTTTGTTTCTTATCATCTGCCTTAATTAGATTTAGCAGCAGATAGATCCCATTTGTAAAAGAGCTGATGTCCTGCATCATAGTTTATTTTTTGTCTGACATTTTAAAACAGGAATAATGAAATAAATTAAGGACACTTTAGGGTAGACTATCTTCTATGACTTAATCTGACGATGTAGGTGGTGCTTTAACAGAGAGATTCCTTCGGCTGTTGGTCAGTCGCCGTTGTTGAGCAAGGAAAGACTGTGCAGGTGGGTATGAATGACCATCCCTGTAGATGGTATTTCCACTGAAAAGTCTGGATTCCATTCCTAGTTTATGAAATGCTAAACTCTGCAAGGAAACAGAATAAACTACTTAAATCCACTGCTCTTCATTCAATCTCAAACAAAGCTAATATTTATGATGGCTGACTTTTAGTGTATTACTACATTATTAATGCATACATTATTTCTTTTTTTCTGCCTTAATAAGAGATATATTTAATATCTGGCATAGTAAACAGGCATTGAACATGCAGAGATAATATGCTATATAATTGATCTACAAATTATGCATGATAATCCTGGAATAATTTCCAGAAACAGCGCTACTTAAAAGTAGTATCACATTTGGAATATGGCTACTGAAAAATGTATGACAAATATAGATTCCAGCACTGCAGGAATGGGCAGTCTATAACACTCACAAGTTGTGGCATCAAGCCCATTTCAGATCACACCACCATTTAGCAATAAAACAGGTAGCACAATTTTTGATGTTATTTTACCACCACCCTTGCAGGACACTTAGAGGCCTAAAGGCCATTAAGTTGAATGCTCAGTATATGAGAACAAAACAATACTGAGGTCAAGAATAGCTGAGAAGATGAATAACATTAAAAATCAAGTAAAATGTTAAGTAAAAATTAAGACTTTTACTTAGGAGGAAGAATTCAAAGGCAATTAGGTTATTGTGTCACTCAAAAACTAGGACCTTCCAGAGGGATCCATGACTAATTCTATACAGCAGGATGGAAACTTTAAGACTTGTGGACTTCAACTCCCAGAATTCCCCAGCATGGCTGGTTGGGGAATTCTATGAGTTGAAGACCACAAGTCTTAAAGCTGCCAAGTTTGGAGACTCCTGTTGTAGAGTAAAGGACCCCATCAAACATTTCCATAAAACAACATGGTCTAGTAGGGAGCTCTGCAAAGAAAAATAAACTGCATGTAATCACAAGGATCCCAGAGAAAAACCACCATTTCAATAAATATTAATCATATCAGATCTAGCTATTTGATTCTGAAAATATTAAGGATAAAATCCAATGCTACACAAGGACAGAAATAATTGTGCTTGAATACTTAGATACTCCCCTATCCCCACCCTGTGGCTTCCACTAGCTTCTTAAAATCTGCTGCACAAGGTTAGGAAATCATATTTGGGGCTTGTCACAGGAAGCTGCTTCCATCAGTAGAATATATTGGAATTTCACCCATGTTTACTAAAAACTTTCCCTTGTGCACAGATACAGTAACTCACCTGGTTATGCCATGCAGATACAATTAACTTTTCTTCATGCTCCTGAATCCTGGCTGATTTACACTGACCCTAAAATGAATTTGTAAGAAGTATAATGTAAGTGGAAGAAATTATATGACATTCAAGGCAACAGAATGATTACTATATGCATAATTTTGCAAAGCAACACACAAGCCTAAAAAAAAGACAAAATTTTTACTGCTTTATATTATCTTCAGTAATAAACTCAGATTTTAATTATATTTCTTCTGGCTTAATTTTACCAATTTCTTATGGCAGCTCTTAGTTCATTACCAGTGTGTCTCAACCTTGGCAATTTTAAAAGGTGTGGACTTCAACTCCCAGAATTTCCCACCCAGCAATGAAGGAAAACATTAAAATTGTTCTTAGTTTTACTGTTTAGTTTTATATTTTGTTCTATTGTTGTAAGTTTCCTTAAGTGTTCACATGACCAGAAATCAAGTATGCATTTAATAAATATATAAAAACACTGTTGCCTGATGGTAAAATACATGGCATATAAATTGAATAAATAAATAAAATACCTCAAGTGTTTCTATTCTTTTGTCTTTCTCTGCCAACTGTTTTCTTAGCGACATTATTTCAGCAGATGCTGGTTTTAATTTGGGATCTAAAGTTTTTATGACCTGCAGAAAGAACATGCATATTTACAATGATTTTTATCCACTTAAAGAAATAACATATGCAACAATTACATCGATCAACTAGCCTAAAATTTGCCATTCTAACTGAGCAAGCCACCTTTATTAAAAAAGTTTGGAACAATTTTGTACTGTGACTTCTATTCTTTCTTCCAGAATGTTTTTTCAACCTTCTGGTCTAGCCTATAGCTCCAGTCTATTGATTCTATTTCCATTTATTTACATCAACAAATTCACTCTGCTTTTCTTGCTTTTATGGGTTCAGTCTGAGAAAAAGCTTTCTGATGCCTATCATATGTGATGTTTATGACATAGTTTGAAGGGATTAAACATTTCTTATTAATCCTTCATCTAAATGAAACGGATATAGTGCATACATCCTTTCGATAAAGCTATCAGTGATTGAAGTAAAAATCCAGAGTGCCACAGATTTTATTTTATTTCCTTTTTTCAGGATGAGAGAAACCTTTCCTAGAAAAGCAGAATAAGCTAATGTTAATGTTTAATTATTTTGGATCACAACTGCAAACCATTTTGTTGTAAGCATCAGGCTTCAAGTCAGGAGAATGTGAGTTCTATTCCCGCATTGGGCACAAAGCCAGCTGAGTGACTTTGATTCAGTTACTTTTTCTCAGCCCTAGAAAGCAGGCAATGGCAAATCACTCCTGAAAAATCTTGCCAAGAAAACTACAAGGATTTGTATAGGGAGTCTCCAAGAATCAGGCACAACTGAATTGTAGAAAAAGGATTAAATTAGATACTGCCACATAGTTAACTAAATTAGGAAACTTAAGTATGGAACAGAGAACTAATGTAGCTTTCAAATAGTAGAAGTGGGAGTGGAACAATTTTCCAGTTCAAGAGTTCTTAAATAATTCATTGGTTTAGAGAAAATAATACTCACAGTTCTTGCTTTTTCTAAATACATCTTATATCTCTCTTCCATTGATTTCATATCTTCATCTTTCTTATGCAAAGCAGCTTCTAATTCTTCTATTTTTTGTGCTATTATTAGAAAACCCAACGTAATATTAGTAGAGATAAATACCCACATCTGGAACAACCAATAACATGTGAATACTGTTACCTCTGGGAGGCCTAAATGATCAGTAATTAGTTGTAATCCATTAAGAATACAGATTGCGATCCCATTAATGCCGATAAAATTTGGATTTTAATAAAACACCTGAGGGATCACAAGTCCTCATTTTGCCTTACCAGCTGCATTCACTGTAGTATTCAGAAATACAGCTCAAAGTTATCATATGTACTGCATTTAATATGATATGATTTTTAAGAACGAAGAAAAAAGGGATATATCCTTCAATTTATATACTTGCAGTATTTTATCAATATACTGGGTAGTAAAAGAAATCAAACAGAGAAAGTTAAATGTCCTCCAAAGTTTATATATGCAATAGGAATAATGTATACCTGAAGCAAAAAGTTAAAGGAGTAAAACATCACTTTACCATTTTGATTTAAATCTGGTTGAAGGTCTGCAAGAAGAGCTTCCTTCTTCTGCAGTTCCTCATGGACTTCATTTAATTTCTCCCTGAAAGTATATGGCTTCTTTTAATTAAAAAGCAACATAACTGACATTTTATTTTATATAAAAAATAGCATGTTACCTTCTCATCTCACAATTATAAGAAACACTAAAGCATACCATCCCATCACAAAACCAATACAATGATATTTAAAAAAAAAAAATAAGGTCATAACATAGGTGAGAAGTACATAGTTATCCTAACAGCTATGAATTCCTGAACAATTCCAGACTCTCCCTCAAGGTTTTGGAGGATGAATGCCTAAGGGGAATCCACAATTATTGAGTTACAAGATCAATATGTCTGGGAAGGCAACAGAGAGGACCATACAACAGCAAAAAACCCCACTTGTCTATGGTCCCCCATTTTATGTACTTATTTTACTACTAATAAAAGCAGCATTTTCTTCCAATTCCACCATGGTGTTACAAACAAGGAAAAAAGATCAGTTAAATAAGTCATAAAAAGTCTCGTTTTAATGTCTGCTCACATGCATACAAAGAAATATAAATGTATCACTTACATATGGGCTGCTATCTTCTGCTTCAATTGACTGGACTGCAAATAATAAATAAAAGTGACTAGAAAGTTATTGATCATATGATCTCTCTCACACACACACACACACACACACACACACACACACACACACACACACAGAGGTAACTATGATCAACCCCACTGTAGAGCAGTATTAAAAACTACTGAGTCCTACTTCATTACATAACTAGAATAGACCATGTTTCAGGATCTTTATTCAACGTCCAATAAATATAAAGAAAATTATATTCAGTCTATGTCTTTCCCATATCATAATTGCCCTGTGATTTTTAGGAATGGCCATGCATTACATTAGTTCCTTTTTTGAAACTTTGCTTAGTTATTCATGAACTAATTGCTCTCAACATTAAAATATGTCATATACTTGTATTTGTTTAAGTAAAATGCACGTTTTAATTGCAATTTATACAAAAGACAGAATATTTACTTTGAATTTAAGATATTCCATATCCAAGGAATGATTAAAGACTGACATAGTTATAAACACATACAAAAATCTTGCACAAGCTTTCCTGCTTGTTAATCAAAGTTGTCAATTCCCACTGAAACCAAGCCTGAATATTCCTTTCTTCAGAAAAATGAACTCACTGTGTATATTTGTATACATATATTCAAACTAGCTCAATACTTGTGCTTCGCTACGAAACTATGTGGTTGGGCTTAGTTTTGGGGGAGGAAGATAAGGGGGGGACGGGGGAATTCTGCCTACCAGCATCCATCGGTATTCATCTGGCTAATGTCCTGTCAGTATGTGAGAGAGTTGAGGGCTATTTGGAAACTGAAACAGTATTTGCTGTGTGAGCAAGAAGGAAACAGCAAGGAGCCTGGGCATGACTTAGCTCAACTGTTCTGTATTAAAGCTGGTTGCTGCTGTGAAACTGAAACTGAAACTCCTCTCCTCTGCTCATGTTTTGCATTTGGAACAGATATCTTTTCAGGTGGGGAGGGGAAGCAGATCTCCTTAGCATCAGAGCGTGTTAATAATAATATACAAAATAGTAATGCTCTGATGGTCGTTTTGAAAAATCCTTTCTTAGTGAGCATCTAGAAGCCAAGAGAAACATATGTGCCAAATTTTAAGTTTGTAGGCTTTACGGTTCTGGAGATTTTGTGATAATGCAGGAGTGGTATTTCACTTTTATATATACAGATAATGCATTTTCATCCTAGAACTGGCCAGAGGCCATGTTCCAAAAGGACAACTCAGGTTCAAATTTAATCAGCCTTAATACAAATCACTATTGGTTAGAATTACTTCTCTGTAGAATAAAGTATTCCATTAACAAAGTTAACAGATTCTTGTACGCATAGACACAAATAGTCTTCTAACTGGAATAAATTATGCAGAGGAAAGCTCATATAGCAAACACCTGCACATTCTTATTCAGTAATAACTTACACTAAAGTTATTAGAGTATTTGGAACTTTGATGTTTTATTATGAAATATAGATAGTGCTCCACTTACGATGAAAATTGTGGTTGTAGCGTGCAATATCATATGACTGCATCACTTGCCAACGGCAATTCTGCCAGTCTTGATTGCCATGGTTAAGCGAGAACTGCAAAGGTCGTGAAAACAGTACCTTTTGGAATTCCAACTTCCTGCCAGCTTCCCCACTGACTTCTCTTGTGGGAAGCCAGCAGGGAATCTCATAAATCGCAATCACTTGACCACAGACACACTGCAACACTCACTGTACAAGGACCTGCTGTAAATACCATCTGTTCAGTACTATCATAATTTTGAACAGTCACTGAACAAATGGACGTAATCCAAGAACTACTTGTATATTCCGATGTCATACCTACCCTTTCTTTTTCTGACTTGGACTCTTGTTCCTGCAAGGATTTCTGAAGGTCTTCAATCTGCTGCTGCAGCTCCCCAAGATGCTCCTTGCTCAGTCTATCATAAAGCATTAATCGTAAGACTATTTAATAGAGTTCAAATATTCAAGCATGAAATTGTTGTTCTTGCAAGATTAACACCCATACCCTAGCTGGCAGCAAGAACATCCTTGACTACCTCTCTATTGAGGGACTTAATCCCTGCTAATTAAATTAGAGATAATCCTCAGGTTACAATGATAAATAGAACTGAGATTGCTGTCACTAAGTAATGCAGTCATAAAGTGACTGCACAGCATAGTGATATTCCCAGTTGCTGTCATAACTGTAAGACACATGGGTCATCTTTAACCAGAAAGTGGCAGGAATCCCAGGTAAGGAGCAAAGGGATGTCTTGGCAAAGAAGGATGAAGGCATGTGTATGCTGCACATTAATTGTGGGATGCCAGAGGGGTTTTTGGAGGCCTGGTGCAGACTATATCCAAGCATAAGAAGCTGCAGGGTGGATGCTACGGCACAAGTGCAGGAAGCCCAGGGAATGGATTGTGCAATTAAAGTCAATGGGAAAGCCAGCAGAGTAGGTTGTATGTTGCTCTGATAAGTCCTTCTGGCTTCCTGGGCTTGCAGTGTGATGCAAGCACAGGAAGATCAGGAGGACTTACCAGAGCAACATACAACCTACTCTGCTGGCTTTCCCATTAATTTAACTTGTGGGAAGCCAATAAGGAAAGTCTCAAGTAACAACTATGTAACTATAGGACGTATCCACCATCAGAACTGCAAGCTGGTGGCCAAGCAATAGCAGTCTCATGATAGCTGGAACTAGTTGTAAGCACAACTCGCTCAGTGCTATCACAACTTCGAATGGTTGCTGAATGAATGGTCAGTAAGTGAGGAACATCTGCACTTTGTCATACAGGAACTGAAAGGAAATCAGAGGAAAGTGCAGCTGACAGTAGAGTTCCACTCAAAGAAATTGTCTGGCCCTACGTTTTAAGGATCTCTCTTTCCCAGTGAATCACAATCTACTTCATTTAGACAGGGTCCCCTGTTTAATAATTATAAGCAACTCTAGGAGTAGACTGAGTAAGAAAGTCCACTTTCAATCCATTTGCACCCACCAGTGTGGAGCCAATCAGTCTTTCATGTGCTTTCTATCATTCAGTATGTTTTCTGTGTCTCTCACAAGTTTTTTGTATTTATTAAAAACAGTATTAAATCAATGTTATATGGAGAATCACCTGTTTTCAGTTTCTAATTCATTTATCATCCGATTTTTTTGTTCCAGCTTCTCTTGAAGCTCTGCAATTTGTTCATTTTCTGATCCTTCTTGTTGCAAATGAAGCATCTTGTTTTCATGTTGAAGCCGAATGAACATTTCTCTGAGATTTAAAATAAAATTTGTAAGCAGACAAAATACTGCATTTTCCTCCAACATTATAAAACAGGGCTTGCTGTATATTACAATAAAATTGGCAGTTGATGTGATATTATGCACAAAAATCTGTTTGCAGACCTAGTCATGTGTTAATTTCATTTCAGCAGAAATAGCAGAATAGCGTCTTAAAAATAGCACATAGACATGCACATAGATTACAGACTTCTTCCTCAAAAGCAGCCTCTAACCGCACTGTCTGAAATAGTGATGGTAAAGAAATTGAATCAGGCTTTATTCTTCCATAAATTAGTAAATCCCCAGTATCAACTTATTCCTTTGCTGATACATGTCTGATCCTCTGGATAGGCTCTTACCAGGAAAGACTTAACACTATAAAGCTATGTAATGAAATTCGTAAAAATCCAGTCTCGGTTGTAACCAGACATACAGAGTTATCGCTGTATTTCTTGTATTGATTACTTTCTTTTTAATTGAGAGTACAGATGTTTTCTAAATTGATTCAAATTAGAAATCCCCCTTTCCAATATTTAGGGTTTTATCTTTATAAGAATATGGGATTTCTATATTGTCTGATATTCTATTGCATTATAAATAAGATTCATACTTCATTTTACATGTGTTTACGTCTCTTACCTAAATTCCACAGGCAGAATTTCAGCAGCAAGATTTTCATGGCTTTTCACAGTAGATACACCTGAGGGCATAAAGCAAGATCATGAGACTACTTTCATGGAGTCAAAGCAAAAATGATCCTAAATATTTTCTTTTAAGTACCTGTTTGGTTCAGATGATCCTGCTGCATTTGTGAATACCTGAGCTCTTCATTGGTCTCTTTCAATGCATCACGTTGAATTATTAATCTCTGAAAATAAAAAGTCATTTGATAATGGTAGATGCATATCAAAATACTTGGCTCTTAATATTGTATGAGAGCTTTAATTGCTTCTCCACCTGAAAATGATATCCCAGAATAACTCTTAACAACATGATTCTGTTATAGAGTATAGAACATCATTCTCAAAAAGAATAAAGCAGTTTTCATAATGTATGGTAACATCTTCCATGATGGCTTAGAAACAGGCCCATCAAACTGGAGGACTGCGGGTTGGATACAGCCCACGGAGCATATGCCCACCCCAGCTCCACAAAGGCAAAAAGCACTTTGTGATACGTCATGATGCGGCCTGCGACGTGATCCAGTTAACACCCCTGGTCTAAAACAATTTATCATTACATTGCAAATTTTTTGAGACTCAACAATCTAAGTAACCCACTTCCTCTTCCCAATCCACATAGATATCTTGACTTCCCAATATTTCGAAAACTGTATTTCCGCATTAGTTGAAACCTCACCTCTTTCTCTTTAATTAATGTTTCATGCTTCTCTTCCAATTGTTTCATTTCAAAAGCTAGTGCATCTGCTCTTTTGGATTCTTCAGAGAGCTTGCTATGAAGTTCCTGGATCTGGTTTAAAAAGAAAACCAATAAAGGTTTTAGAACTTGGTAATCTGAAATAACTTCTTCCGTAATACTGGAGCAGAAATAGTGTTACAATCAGGATTTCATTATCTTCATGAGAACCTGTAATCTTTTCAGCATTAGCTGGAAATCAGTTTTTCCCCAGTTAAATGGAATATATTAGTCTTTGACTTTAAACAATTCATTTAGTGACCATTCGATGTTACTATAGCATTGAAAAGAGTGACTTATGGCCATTTTTCACACTTTACAACCATTGCAGCATCCTCATGGTCACATTATCAGAGTTTGGATGTTTGACAATTGGTTCATATTTATGACCGTTCCTGTGTCCCAAGGTCACGTCATCACTTTTTGTGACCTTCTGACAAGCAAAATCAATGGGGAAGCCAGATTCACTTAACAACTATTTTTCCTAACTTAAGAACGGCAGTGATTCACTTAACAACAGTGACAAGAAAAGGTCCTAAAATGGGGCAAAACTCACTTAACAAATATCACTGCTTATCAACATGAATTTTGGGCTCAATTGTGGTCATAAATCAAAGAATACCTGTAGTTAATTGTTCTTCTGAAGCATTTCATCTTAGCATAGATCATTTAATGCTTAGAAATTTAGGTTAACAGATTCAATTAATAGAACATAGGTCTTGTAGAATTATGGCACTAGTTTTCATGATTGTATGCTTAATACAACTAACTGCACAGTTGAAGACATGTATTACTGGTAATGCTAAATCTACCAATAAGGTTACCTTATTCGAATAAAATGAATATGAGTGAAGTACTGTTGATATAAACAATAAAAATATTTGCAAGGACAACGTAAGGAGGAAATCACTTTTCATCCTCAGCTTTTTTAGACCTAAAAGTGAAGACTTCTATTCGACTGAAATAGTACGAAGAAAACACAGAAATTCAAACAAGATGAAAGGAAACATTTCTTACCTGCCTTTTGTAAGTTTCCAACTGTGTACGAGCTGCATTTGCTTTCTTTAATTCTTCTTCTAGGCTAACTGTGTTATGCATATACATCATGTTTGTTTCCTGAAGTATTTTCACCTGTCTCCGAAAGTCATTCAAGTCTTCCAACTTTTTGCGATACACCTCAACAGTCGACTCCAATTTATTTGTTTTATCAGCAACAGTCCTACAATAACATATTCAGTTATTTCAAAAGCATAATTGAGCCATCAGAAAACAAAATGCAAATACTTAAGTGAAAAGTAAGATCTTATTTATAAAATATTTTCTCTTAGGTTCAAATTGCCAGCATGATAAACTAATAAGAAAATAAGACTTTTCAGTTCTACATAATTAAAACTGGAGCATCAACTGCAGTCATGAATGACTTCCTCCTCTTACTAGGCAATGATCCATGCCACTTCAGGGTAGGCTTTCCTTTTGAATCAAAGCTCTTCTATATTGAAGGAAGAAAATAGTCACAGGCTCCCCAAGAGAGGTTTTATACATTTCAAGAGGCTATTATTAGTGAATACAGAAATACTATGAAAGCTAAAATGCTGCAATACCCAACTGAAAATTAGGAGGTTTGTTTAGCAGAGTTAAAAGATTCCTTCAATGCTTAATTCAAAATTAGTATCTTAGTTAGAGATTGAATGACAATCTGGTATATTATTTTATACTACATAAGGTACCAGTTATAAGACATGCATATAAAAGTAATTTGCAATTTCCATATTAAATATTTGTTACTCGAGAACAACTTAAAGTATTACATGTAAGAATCTACAAGAAACAAAGTCTATTGAGAATATAAAATAAAAACTTTAAGTATTGGAAGCACAAGGCTTATTTTAGTTGCTGTATTACTTAGGAAATAGAACCAAATACCTAGGAAAAAATTGAATAGGAAACACACGACAAAGACTGTCAGAATTTAATAGTTTGCTGCCAAATTTCAGTGGCAGAATCTTGGATGTTCTGAATGTTGCAAAAAAGGAAGGAAGTTATTATACTATATCATAATGAAAGCTCTTCCATACTTCACTGAGTTGATGAGTCCCAAAAAAGTTAGTCTGTCTCCCTTAGAATTCACATCTACTGTGCCCCGAGTAACAGTGAATCCTGAGATGAGAGTATCTGGAAGGCTTTAAGATGGACAATAAAAGCGAGTCTTCAATTTTGCAGACGTCAGTACTATAAAACACACTACACCATTTTCTCCTGTAATTTATGCCGCTTCTGTAATGACCTTATTGCACCAATGATATAGATGTAAGTAAATGACAATAGTGTTTGTGAATAATTCTCTCAATTAAACTATTAAAAACAGGTGTAGCTGCAAAGGGAAACAATATACAATGTGTTACTTTGGTTTAGTGGTTAAGGCACCAGACTAAAAGCCAGGAGACTAGGAGTTCTAATCCTGCATTAGGCATGAAAAGTGGCTGGGTGACTTGGGCCAGACACTCTCTCTCAGGAAAGACAGGAAATTAATAAATAAATGTGGGGGAAGGGCAGCAGCTGAAAGAGTTTGGTATATTCTTTGAAAACTCCAAGATGATAGAATACTGCATATTAAACAGGATAGTAACATAGCGGACTGGATTTATTCTGTATACCTAAGAACATCAATTTCATCCTTCAGAGCCCGGGACTCTTCTGCCAGAGACGTCAGTTCATCATTTCGATGCTGCAGTTCTATCAGTTGTTTCTCAAGCTCTTCACAATGAACACGGTAATCATCTTTTGTAGTTTCAAGTCTTTTCAAAAACAAAATTAATAGAAAGGGATTTACTATCAACTTCCTTAGTATAAAACATTATACTACAATATAATTCATAAAAATATATGGAAAAGTTTAAGCACAGAAATTTGTATAATTTTTCATATGCAAGCATATTGGGAGCAAATGAAATGTAATCTTAACATTGTAACTTTTATGTCAGTTTCTATGTCATAAAGAGAAAGACCGTAAACAGTTTCTGCATTATTAAAAATTAAACATCTAAAGCAATGAATTACAACCTTTATTAAAAAAAATAAAGCAAATTCAAAATTGACACCATAATTCAAATTTAGGATATGTAACTATTCAGTAATGGCACATTAGCCCCACACCCTGTGGAACACCTTCCACCTCTCTAAGATCTGGAAGGCACCCATCCTTCTAGTTTTCCAAAAATTCTTTAAAAGTTGGATTTTCCCGCAGGCTTTGAGACATATTAAGGCTGGAGTCCAAAGATTGTGTTCTTGTTTTAAAAAAATATCTGGGGTTGTGTTTTAGGGAACCCAGAATTTCGGGGGGGGGGGGGTTGAACAGGGTGGGGGGAATATATAGGTTTTATTATTTGTATGTTCTTGTCACTGCTTTTATAAGTTGCCCAAAATTATGGCAAATAGGATAGGTGATCATGTAAATTTTTAAGATACAGAGAATCAGAGTTGGAAGGGACGTTACAGGTCATCTAGTCCAACCACCCTTTCTGACAAATAGCACTCCAATCTCTTCTTGAAAGTCTCAAGTGATGGCGCTCCCTCAACTTCCGAGGTCAAGCTGTTCCATTGGTTGATTGTTCTCACTAAATTTGAAGGTTATAGATCTTAACCATATAGTAATGTGAAATTATGTACATAGTGTCATTAGATGGATGAGGTAAGCAAAGAATCAAAACAAAAGATTACAATAATAAAAAGCAGTATATTACACATGTATCATACTACAGTAGGAAAAAAAAATGAACTGAATATAATGTCTGATCAATGAGATCTGGTAGTGGTGAAAGAGCAAATCATTAATAAACTAGTTTGGCCTAGCAGGAATGACTTGAGAAAAGCCTCAATGCTTAACCTAATGCTTGAGAATAAAATAGAACTTTCTAAGGAACTAAAACTGCAAACTCAGGACTTTTGTACCAGAGGAGAGGAAATTGACCCCTTGTCAATTCTGACAGTTACTCAAGGTTGCTGACTAAACAAATCAAAGACTAAAAATGCTAGATCGCTACAGATATAGATTTGGCTGGGTTATGATATGGAAGCGTTATACTGTCCTTTTTCCTGTAATAAAACCATTATATAAGATTTGTCTTGGCACTCTCTCAGATGGTAGAACCTTGTACTCTATCCCTTGCATAGATCAATAAACTGGGCTCAAGCAGTTCATGTAGGCTCTACTCAACTTGGACATGGTATGAGTTAAAAAGAATGCTCGCATAATAGCCAGTATGAACAATCCCAATGTTTTATACATGTTCATAACATCACCCCAACACATGGGATGGACTATATTAGTTTTATAATAATCTCTCTGGAAACTGCATCTACGGAGTATGTACAATTATTGAAGAAAACAATATGAATCTCCATAGCATACAGATAGCTGGGCAAGGCCTCTTCAAGAAATAGTCATAAACGAACAGGATAATATAAGAGAAGGCTGGCCTTTGACAGCTCCAGACCTAATAGACCATAGCTAGCACTGCAAAAACTACAATAATAACTTCAGAAATATATAAATTTTCAGAATTTAAAATGGGGAATGTACAAAAGCTATACTATAGCTTTTTGCATCAGGTAGCACTTCAGAAACATTTTCTATTATGTTTCAGTAAACAACTCAAGCTGCAACAGTCATAGAAAAAGTGGCTGGGTTATATTAATTCATACCTGAAATTTTCTTCTTGTAATTGTTCTAGTTGTAACTGTGCATGAAAATACTTTTTGGCAACTGCTGTGTTTGTATCATCAAATGAACCATCTAACTGATCCAATCGGTCATTCATTATCTCATTTTCAGACATTAAACTGCATTTTTCCTCTTGAAGGGCAGCCACCTAAAGATCCAGAATCCATTTCAGAATAATAAAGTCATCAAAATCATTAACAGTGTGTAATTATTCAAATATTGGCACAAGGGATTTTTATCTCAGAAAAAGAAGTGACTAACCTCCAGTCAAATTATCTGCTTCCTAAATTAAACATATATTTAATACAGATTAGCAGATAAGCACAAAAATGATTGCATTAATTAATGTACACTATGCAATTATATAAAATCAAGTGCAATCCTTGTTATTTCAGCATATGTATTTCCATTTCTCTGTTTCTTGCACTTCTCTCTGTGAATCCACATATAGAACCATTAGCTGCACATCATCCTCTATTTGTAGCTCTTCTGTTCTAAATCAGCAACACTTAGGACTTATATAATCAAGATTACCAGTCACAGTAACAAAACAACATCAACACGAAAAAAGTCTTCCAGACTATTATATGCGGTGGAAAATAAGGGAAGAACTTCAAAACAGTTTTAAATTATATAAGAACTGAGCCAAGTAGACTCAGGAATGATCCAGCAAGACACCTTTCCTTTATCTGACATAAAAACACAAGAATTGTTGAATCAGATCAAAATCCACCCAGATAAAATTTCCATATTTCTGTAAAAGCAGAAAAGGGGTTAAAAAGGGAAGCATTATTAGCATGTAGAAAAATGTTGGTCAGTTTATAAACTGAAGATAACAAAGCAGAGAACTAAGTAATAATAATACTTAGTAGTGAATAGCTGTGTAAAAAGCAATTCCAAGAGCCAAAACAAGTAGCATTAAGTAAAATTTAGACAGCATCACATTTATAGATCAATGGATAAAAAGATTCATGCATTTTGCAAATATTTCTGAAAATATCACAAGCTAGAAAGTAAGAGCACAATACTGTAAGTATATTAACAATCAAAGAAGGATTCTCATATTAACAAAACAGCCCCATAAGTATGTTTTGTGGTGAAAGCCACCATGTTAATTGTAATATAGCAAAACATCACAGCATATCACATGTTAGTTCACTGATATTTAAAATGCAAAGTACTCTTTGGGTTATGTCTTCCTGAAATAAATATAAACCTACCTTTCTTAAATTCTTGTAAAATATCATGGGACACAGAGACCTTACAAATGAATTTATTAACAATTAGATTAAGCAATAAGTATGTATATTTTGACTCTCAAATATTTAGTATAGCACACTGGCATTAAATTATTGTGTTGTCTTTGTCAAATGATATTCCTAAGCTGTAAAAATGAACTGCAATCAATTATAGGTATGAATATATTCAGAATCATTAATTTATATTAATAATTGTTGTCAGGGACAAGTATTTATAGATTACAATAGATTTAGATCTTAAATATTTTAAAAAGTATTCTAAACATTGTATATTTAACGTATAGAGGAAAAAGCTACAAAATATTATTTGTAAAATCTGCAATAAAACACATTCAAAATAACAGTGAAAGGCTGTTGGGACATTAATTTCATAGAAAATTAAGTACTAAAACAATAACATGAGGAATATCGTAACTAATATAAACTTTTGGAAAACAAAGCATCAGAGTGTTTAATCACAACACAATAGAAGATGTTTTTAAGGCAATCTGATTGTAGGCATTTAAGGTAGATATTAATCAATTACATTTTCTTTAATGAAATGTACTTGGAAAAATATAGTTACCTGCAAATCTAGTTCTTGACATCTTTGCTTCAATTCTTCTTTTTCTGCAATGACTTCATTAAGTTCTTCCACCGCTCTTTTCAGCTTTAAAAATGTTGAGATGATAATTTTCAAACATTTAGAAAAACAAATTTCTTGACCTTATGTCCAGTAAATGTGAAATGTATTTATGGGTATTCAGGACAAAAAGAATGTTGATTAAATAGAAGGCAAGTTGGTAATGATCATACCTTCTAGATAATCATATCTGTCTCTGTCATATACTTTCCTGGTCCTTGGAACCTCTTTCTTATGATCTTATTCTTTAAAATAATCAAAATATTACTATCTCTGCAAAATCTCTTCTGTTGTTGCCACCAGCAAAACCTATTTTGGTTTTAAAATGCTTTTATTTTTCACCCTACTTTTTTCTTTAAGAAACATAGCACTCCAGGTTAATAGTTAAACAAAGAGAATAAAATAATATTTGTACAAGAATGCAATTGGTTTATAAAATATATAAACCCCTTTTTAATAATAAATCTATATTCCCTTAAATATTATCTTACAAAGATACTAAATATATTTCTAAATCTGTGTTGCTGCAAGATGGATATTTAGGACTCCCAGCCTCCCTCTGACCTATCTTTCCACCTCAGTGCCCCTTCTCCCCTTGTTACACTTTCTCTTTCAAACATAAGTTGGGATGAGTTGTTATCATGCTGAGATCAAAAGTCATGGCATCCTCCTATGAAAATGTTAACATAAAATCAACTTATTCCCTTAATAAATACATTTTCTCTTTTTTTCTTCCTCTCTCTCTCTCTCACTGCTGAACCATCAAACATAATGGATTGTGACAGATTTGGAAAAAACAAATTAGGTGATCTTTATTACACAACAGAATGTTTTTTCCAGTACTTGTGTCCTATCAGGTTTCCAGAAATGAAAAAGTACATACAATGATAAATTCATTAACTAGACTTTCATCAGAAATTACAGGAAAAGATTACTAAAAGCTAAAAGATAGTGTTATCAGTTACCTGTTGCTCCACATCACTGGATATATCACTTGCAACAAAGCCCAAAATCTCTTTGCTCATTAACTGCAACAATAAAAAATTAAGGCAGAATTCTTAATTATGCATGGTCTAAAACAGGTTCATAAGAGATTAGCTGATATTATTTTCCTTAAAATATATGAAATAATCCATATTCAATATGCATTTCACATTTTTTCACACATGCCTTCTCATTGCCAATTTAAATAACTATCACTGCATAATTTAAACAAACATATGTACATATGAAAGACTACAATCCACAAATATTTGAGTAATATTAGTTGTCTTATCTCTACTGCAACACTAGATAACTCCAACCCCCCCCTCCTTTTTTAAGGAATCATTTCCAGTTTTTCTGTTAACTCTTTTTTTCTTACCTCTTGGATAGCAGCCATGACGACATGCTGAACAGACTCCTCTAGTGTCATTATAACTTGTATATGTTCTACAAAGCAAGAGGTTTTTTTAATGAGATATCCTACACAACAAATAAAGACCCAGGACACATAAATGGACAGCCTTGTCTGCAGTTCATTTCTAAAGTCCTCTCTGTAGTTGAATCTTAGCTATCTTGCATTCTCCAGTTCTGCATTACTGCGATAGACTGAAGATCTTAAGCAACATACTTTGCATTGCAGCCAACAAAATCCATCTGCTGATGGACAGTATCTGCCAATTGGATAGAATTCAGCTTCCCAATAGGAAAGGAAAGCACATAAATACACTGCCACTCAAGATATACTAAACCATACATTGGTATGGCATGCTAATACAGCCAAAGTTAACTGTGCTTTTGGTTCTAAACAGGCTTAGTTAATTTTCAAAGGGAATTTACTTTCCAAGAAAACATGAAGTGGGTGTGATTGGACAACATAGCTATAACCATAAATGTGCAGATACATCATCTCCCCAAGTATTTCAAGTGCAAGCGACCAATCACTTGAACACAGTACTAATGCTTCTCTTGTTGGAGTGAACCAGAAGGGGTTCGTTTTGCTTTCCTTGCTTGGCTCTCTCCTGCTTGGGCAATGATTAGATGACAATGCAACTTAAAAATATTTACCAAAATGTTAATAATATATTCATTCTGCTTCATGTATTGCATACTTTCCAAAAACATACTTCAAATCACCTCTCAAGCCTATTTAAATATTTAGACAGTCTAAATATTACGTGTTTAAAACTTGGCTTCATCCAGAAATGAAAGAGTTAATATTTTGGTTTCACTGATATAAAAGACAAATTGAGCTGTTTATTCAGAGAAGAACATTTACCTTGCTTCTTTTCACAGTTGACTGCACAGCCTAAAATGAGCTGCAATAACCTGCCAAGCTCTACTGGATTAGAATGTTCAGAGATTTGGTTTAAATCAGGAAGAAGATCTTCTGAGATTTGCTGAGCCAAAAACTGTAAAAAAAAATTTTTTAAAGGAAGCCCAAAGTTATGTTATAATAAAATATGGGGGGATTTGCTGTTGAATTTATATCACAGCTTTCCTCCTGAAGGCTCACACCACATGCAGTTATTTTTTTTCCTTTTACAACAACCACCCTGTCAGGACCGGTTGGTTCAGAGATTGTGACTTGCCCAAAGTCACCCACAGAGCTTCAATATCTGATAGGCTGAGACTACTTGGTCTATTCCAACTCCTCACTCAATAAAAACAAATTTAGTTAGAATATTTTGGAAAGAGAGTAAACCTTAGTTTTTAGAATTGCTTTTTTATAGCAGAGGACATTTCTTCATTCATATTATACCTCACATGAATGTTACGAAATTCACCAGTAATAAGTACTGCAACTGAACTTTTTTTAAAAACCGAATATTGATCATTACAACATAGCATCTAAAGTGGGAAGAGATAGGAAAACAAAAATACTTTTCTAAAAAATATTCTCTTTTTCAAATAAATACAAAACTGATAAAGTCTTCATGGAACAAAATACTAGTAATAGAACAGCAAAGTTAAGCTCATCCATGGAAGTTTTACATGTATAGTAGACATGAAAATAATAGATAGAATATTCTACAAACTGATATTTATAACTAAGATGATAAAGAAGCATATTTTACAGAGTATGGTTTTTCATACCTCATGATAATAATCCATAATTCCTTGAAGAATCTTCTTCAAATTGCTAGCCTAAAATATTTAAAGTGACAATTGAGTGAGAATACACTATTTTCATATATTTGAAAGTTATAATTAACGTTTTGAAACGCAATCTTTATTCAACAAATTTAATTTCTACTAATATAATCATGTTAGTCTCACATACTATAACAAATGCAATATACCACTTAAAATACCATCATTCTAACAAAATCGACTCCACCAAAAGAAAATTTAGCTTTACAAATGTGATAAATCCAAGCACAGGGAATAAAGTAAAAAACAAAATGTAACACAATACTTTCATAGAGCAAGCAGATGCACACCCCAAATTTTTTTTGTCTGCTTTAGAATGGAAAACATTATTTTATTTATTAGAGAAAATATTGAATTGTTTTATATTTTGTTCAGACTTTCAAATTAAAACGTTCTATGGTCTATTATGGCGACATTTCCCCATCTCTTTATTTCTTCCTCAAGCTTGTCTTTCAGATGTGTAGGAGGTAAAACTCTGATGGAGAAATAATGTTAGGCAAAGCCATCCAAGTCATCCTTCAAATAAAAAGTCCAATGTCAGTTAGGAGTTGATCCCCTGGATGGATTGAATTTGTTAATATATTCCAGTCAGGCTTCAAGGAAACATTTGCTACATTTCATAAAAGGATTTTATATGTTGTTTATAATTGGTATTATTAGATACTTCAATCCATTTATAGTAACAATGTAAATTCATGAACTAAAATGTGTAAATAAAATAGAATTCAATAAAAAAGAAGCAACATATCTATGTACGCACTCGCAGGTGGAGGAAGATAGATGGAACTTGTGAAAGCAGCATCGTGAGCCTCAAAAATCACATAATTATTCCAATTATCAGAAAATAGGTGCTTTATTTGTGTCCCTTTATATTATGAAACATTATATTGAATCCTTTTCTATGGTAGTGTAATCTAAGGCATGAATGGACAATTAACTGCTCTGGAGGATCAAACAGGCCTGTGAAAATCCACTGCCCATATGTAAATTGGAAAAAAAATAAAAACAATGCACGCATGGCTTGGAGGGATCAGTCTACCAGGCCTTTAATGGCTATGATAGGAGGAATCAGTCTACTGCCCTTCTGGCAGGAGAGCCCAATCTACCCACTTTCTGAAGTGCGAGAGGGGCCAATGCATCTTCCCCCTCATTGGTACTTTTGGCAGTAAAGTCCTATGTAATTCCCACCAACCTCTCCCAAGCTGAACCTGATCTAGAGGTTTCAGATGCATTATCAACAGACGTCACGGTTATTATTTGAACCCCTAGCCTCAAAAGAATCCAGCAACCTGATCTATAGGAAAAACAAAACCCCATGCACAATCTAATACTTCTATGTTTATTGTTCTTATCTGGGATCTTTCCCAAGGATATAAAGAAGTTTAAGCAGAGTGATACATACAGCATGTTTCGTCTAGGAATATTCTGAATCACATGCAAGCAGTATCAAATAATCTAAACTATGTTTATTGATATTTTTAACATCAGTACTATAGCCTATGTAAATATTGTATGTATCGATAAGATAATCCATTACCTTTATTCTCCAGCTTTCACCAGCATCTACTTTAATACGGCTTAGCCAAGTTTTGTCAAACCAGGCAGGATCGCTGAAATAAAATCAGTCTCTATTAATATTTTTTGGGTGGTGAAACTGAATTTCACCGGTCAGTTTCAATCTTGTTTTTCTGCAACAATCAGTAACTAATGAGGTCTTATGTGGAAAGCAAATTTGACTCTATCTAGTGATATAGTGCTTTGCGGTTTAGGGGAGGTTTCTGAAAATGGAAAGGTGACAAGCACGTGGCTTTCTACTATATGCACCCCAGAATAGCTATGAAGTGACAAGAACCTTGAAGAGTACTAAAGCAGTATCTTTTCTTCCAACTTGCAATTTAAATTTAACTGCAAGTGAAATAGCCACACCCTTCTTCAGTTCTATAAACTTTATAGAGTCTCTAGAAGCTAATTCTATTTTTTACTCAACAGACATCCAATATTTATGGTATTGTAAAGTTGATAACTATGTACAGTTTTTAATGGATAGAATAATAGTCTTCAGGGTTTTCCATATATGTTTTAAATATTGTTTTGTACTTCTACAAGTGAGCTGAGCATGCTCTTATCTCCTCCATCTTCCCAGTCTCTTACGGTGGCCCAATTTCTGCAACTGTCACTTTCTCCCTATTTGTTTTCCCATATAGTAATATGGTAACGTACGATATTTTCAATAAGGTAATGCATGATACTAATTTAGGAATTCTTTTAAATAATTAACAGCCTCTCAGAAATTTATTTTCATTTAACTGAGTCCATGCTTTAATATAATTCAGATCATTTAAAATGATTCAGAGTTGTCAAACTTTGCAACACACAAAGCCCTTAAAAGTGTTAAATGCATGTGTGCATCCCCGAGTAAAATTAAATAAGCAATTATGATTGGCAGATGGTTCACTTCTAGCTATCCAATGTGTTTTGTTCAAGATTTAGCTCCCTGTTTGGCCTGAAAAGCTCACTTCCAGTTTGCCCACCCAGTATGCCTATCTAATATCTCTACTTCATGAGATGCACTAGTTGTCAGACTGTTTCTGGGTACATGTCAAGGTACTGGCTGTTACTTATACTTGGCATTTGGCAAAGTTACCTGATGGACTGCTTGTCTCCCATAGTATCAAGCTGACTGATTCAGCACTGGTACTTCTAATTCCTTTGACTAAACAATATCATCTATTGGGAAGAAGTGCACCTTTTCTGTAGCATATTCTACCCTCTGGAATGAGGTATTCTCCTTATTTTGCTGTTCATTAGAAAAGCAGTGAAGGCCTGACTCTTCAATGACACCTTTGATGAGGGGATTGAGATTCCCTGCTTCATTCTATCTGCTCTGTCATTCTTGTCACTTTTTTCCTTCTTTTTAATTGTATTAAAATTTCACTGTTGTGAGTCACCCAGAGTCACTGGGAATCAGGTGGCATGCATGTTCAATAATGAAAAATAATAATAACTTACATTTCATGAAGAACATGTGCCAGTGCTACACCATTTGTTAAGTCCTGTACTTCTCTGCAGGATTTAGCAATATTAAATGTCTGCAACTAGAGGAAAAGAAATCATAAAGTGATTAAGATAGCAAATAAATAAAATATGTCACCATTATAATAAAAGTAGTCCATCATACTGTGAGTCTGAAGTAGGCTAGCTGAGTGGTCAATTGCCGAATTATATGTAGAATGAATCTTTTCTCAATCAAATTAATAGTCTCAATCCATTTTAATAGTACTCCTGCAAACATTTCATCTGTACGGATATTAATCAATCAAGCAATCAGAATAGAACTGGAAGGGATCTTGGAGGTTTTCTAGTCCAACCTTCTGCTCAGGCAGGAACCTACACCATTTTAGACAAATGGCTGTCCAATCTCTTCTTAAAAACCTCCAGTGATGGAGCATCCACAACTTCTGGTGACAAGCTGTTGCAATGGTTAATTGTCCTCACCGTTAGGAAGTTTCTCCTTATTTCTAAGCTGCTTCTGTCCTTGATTAGTCTCCATCCATTGCTTCTTGTTCTGCCTTCAGGTGCTTTGCAGATATAGGTGGCAGCCCCTCCAATATTGGAAGTTTGCTATCATGTCACTCCCTAGTCTTTTTTTCCCCATTCCTTTTCAAGTTAAGGACTACCTACAATTTCACTCCCTTTTTTCACTGGAATAGGATCAAGCGAATTTTTGCTATCACAGAACCAGAGAGTGGATTGTAAATGGACAAAATCTGTTGACGCTTTATTCGTCCATGCTATTCTCTGGCAGCCGTGATTGCTTTGTGAGTGATTGATATGGGTACTAAACTTTGTTTAGATTTTGAGTAGATTTATGAACAAGAATCTTGGGCATTTGTGAGACCATAGACTTTACAGATGTTAAATGTTTCATTTACAGACTGACAGATAAGGCATAAGTCACGTAATTAGATATTATGCTCCAAATCAAAAAATAATTTTGATTAAGCTGGAATGAAAGGCTATACTTCTGCCGAGTGATTTTTTTGTAAGAGTAATTTTTTTATTATTAAAAATATTTCTGACAACAGTTGAATATCTGAAAGTATTTGGTGGAATTCAATGTTCCACAAAAGGATTTTGTCTTTTCTTCCTTCCTGTTGCCCTTTCCTACTTTTTTATTATAAACAAAGGTATCTGCAGATCCTAAGGAGAAGATTCATCTAAGAGACAACTGCAAAAACATCAATCTTCCCTCTTGTATTATGCCAGGAAAATCAGTTTATACTAGTAGAAATACAGTTTTTGCTCATAGTTTTCTTCTTTGCCTCACTTAAGGAGAATCCTCTGTACTGCATTACCATCATACCATAAGCAGGATCTGAATACTTAGGATGTACATGTATTGTTCCAATATAGAGCATTGAAAGGAACCTGTTCATTACAATCATGCTTATGCTATAATATGCTTAGGCACCAGCAGCTATTTCATTTTCACTAATCTGAAAAATATCCAAAGTTTGATATTTTAATTTCCCCAGCATTCCCATATTCTTATACTTATTCAGATACCCTTGCTCCTCATTCTAAGCATACTGCATATGCCTCTGTGGAGAAATAGTGATTATTTACTCTTAATATTTTTTCATGTTATTGGCAGCCACTTTCCTCCAGAATTTACCATTTTTATCTCTTAGTAAGAGCATACATTTATACTTAAATATAAGAACATATGACAGTATATTTTCTGGAGATTCTATGAAACATAAATTTACACTATTGATTTGTTATGATGGTTAATTTAAAACTTTAATTATTTTATGGACATCTTATTATATTTTTATTACTATTTCATTGAGTGCCAGAAAATTATGAACTAATTACAGTTTGGTGGGGCAGCAGCAATTTATTTATTTCGTGTATGATGAGACCATCAAAAAAGAGAAGTACACAATCCACACAATTGTATACAAAACTTCTACAGGGGTATCACAGTGGCCTCATAACTGGATATCCAATTCAGTTATCCAGGTAATTATATTAGATGCAGCAGTAGCAGCAAACACAAACCTAATATAATAAAGATGTGTAGCTTACACCATTTTGCTGTAAATAACATTAAGTTTTTTAATCTGTAGGAAAAAAGATTAATCCCCCCCCCCAAGTAGTTCTGCATAACCAAGAACTACATACAAGTATTAATATTTACAAGAAATGGTATGAAGTCCAAGTGTTAAGAACGTGTACTTCTACCTAACTGCCAACTATCTATTAGGATGAAATAATGCAAGGGGATGCAAAGTGACAAAAACTGTTAATGAAACCAGTTTTACACCCTTTCACTATACCCTTTTTACACTTGGTTTATTTTAGTCTAAAACTCTTTCACACGATACAAAGAAATATTAAAAAACAAAACAAAAAACTGGTTATAAACTATTTTGAATGATTTGGCAATGGCTAAACTAATGTTTTTCAAATTGCATGCCATGGAACATTGGCATTCTACAGAAATGAACACAGGTGTTGTCTACATTCTACAAAACAGTCTACAAAATCTTCACTGACTGTCTAACTGCCTGGCAACCAAGAAATTTAGGAAGTAATTGTCTAAGAGAGAACTTTTTTTTGTTTAACTTTAAAAGTATTTTTCTGCTTCACTAGGCTATCAATTTAGAAGCACCACTCCTTTTCATTTATTTCTCTATTATAGGAATGCTAGAGTATCTTGTGAACTACAAAATCACCATCTGTATCACTTGAGTGATGCATGCTCCCTTCTTCTAGAATATTGCCATATTCTTTTGGGTTCAAAGTCCATTTAGAATCAACCCAGTCTGTGGTAGTCCAGGAATAAGAGAATCTGACCAACTTAGTTTCCAACTATTATCTAAAAAGCAAAAAAATGAATCTAGCTCCACCAAATGGTTTTGGGTGTAAATCAAACACATTGCTCAAATGCCTTTTTGTTTGATATATTTGTATGAAAAAGTATTTTTGTACTATGCTGTAAAAAAAAAAGCAAGTAAGGAAGCCAATCAGTAAAGTTCCAAATTAAAATCACAACTGCTTAATTTGGATTTATTTCTGATGGAATGGTAATTCAAATAACTAGTAGCTTTTACTTGCTAACTTATAAATTACTTCTTATCCCTAGCAATATGAGAGCATTTCCATAAATAGCTATTATTGCTCTGGCACAAAGATCACTTTAAATTACTCTTAAAATCTACAGTTTGAGTCATCACAGAATCACCCATCACTGATGTTAAACAATCTACCTGTCACATGTTTATGTCATACAGCATTTGTAAAACAAGTAATAAATCAAATATAACTTCTTCCTCATCACATACAAGAAATAAAAATAATTGTAATATGTCTATTATACACACACGCACACACATTCTTTTTAGAACAGGCATCAGAATTTCATTTTTAATATATTACAGTATGTACCCAGAAAAAGTAACAATAAAGGTTATCTCATCTTAATCAAGCTTAATCAAGCTTCTAGTATACATACTGTAACTCAATTCTTGAGATATTTTTATCTCACCTTTATTATTTTTATAAATAATTCAAGGTGGCAAACATATCTAATACTTCTTCCGCTTCCTATTTTTCCCCACAATAGGTGAGTTGGGATGATTGGCCCAAAGTCACCCAGCTGACTTTCATGCCTAAAGCGGAACTAGAACTCAGACTCCAATTTTCTAGCCTGGTACCAGAGCAACAACAGTTTATTATTACTAATACTATACTAAACTGGCTCAATTAAAACTTTTTTCTTCCAAAATAAAAGAGCAAAGGGGCAATAATGGCTTATTTATCTAAACATCACCAGCAAATTAATTATTTTAAGAAAAGAGATATTAAGCTATCTGATTACAAGTACTAGATAATAAATGAAACAGAACTGAGTGGAATGCAAGTTATAATAAAGGACTGGGTTATTATTTATTAGAATTAGATTATTTGAATATTGTTTTAAATATATTGTAAATGAGATTTGTGCATTGTGCAAATATTTAATAAGGACAATTAATAACAACTTTGTTGATTTCTTGATTTTATTATTTTTAACCACCAATGTTCTAACATGGAGAGAAAAAACAATCAAACACCTTGCAATGAAAGTTAAAAAAAAAAGTTTCTAATTCCAAAATAAGACAAAACCTGTTTCCAGAAACGGCTGACAGGCACATCCTTCATATACAAGCTCAAAAATGCCTGCCTGAAATGTTCCCCACGTGAATATTTTCAGTGTCCTTACTTTTAGATCCTGCATAGTAAAATTCATCTTAATTCATACAGAACATATGCATTCCTGTGGCATATAACACAGCTTAATAATACACTCTTTTTTGAAATGAGTTTTCAGGTATATGTTGTTGGTCTATATTCTATTTCCTACAACAGCTAATAAAATGTCTCAAGAGTTATTTTCAAAAGCAAAGAAAGGGTGAAAGGCCTACCCGAAGTTTTCCATTTGCAATGTATTAAAAATCATTACTGACAGCTTTATATAAAAGGGTAAATTTTCACACAAGCTTTGACAGAACCTGAAAGCATAGTGGAAAGCCTCTATTAGCTATCATAGCCTTTAGATTTTCTCTTCTCCCTTTAATAAGCACGTGTCTCTAAAGGAGGTGGGATTCACCCCTTACATTATCTTCCATGATTTCCTCCTACCGCTGCTTCCCTAGAAAAATCCGAGATGGAAGGAAAACAAGATTCACTCCATATTGACTATTGAAAGGCGGTATTAGAAACCTGTATGTCTAAAAGTGCACCGACACAGAAGTCCAATTAGGGTTCAAATGTCCCCCTTTCCCCCTCCCTCCAAACAGGTTAGTTACACTGGAGAGTTACTCACTAGGTTGAGTAACCATTGAGAACCATTTTTAAACTTTTATTGAACCACGAAAGGGAAGCTCTCTTGGCAAAGAGGTTCCCCATAAACGCGTAACCGGGCAATTTTTACGCAGAAAAGAGATCAATCAGGTCAGCATTAAACACGCAAGTCAGAGGGGCGGGTTTGCGGGGAGCCAGATGGAGGTGGACCGTGTGACCGTTTGAACACGACAACCCGCATTCAGGTTATGAGAGGAGAAAGAGGGAAGCGGCAGAAGAGCGCGGAGATCTCCATATTGGATTTGCAGCTCCGCTCCAGGGCAACGTTCCTGTCAGCGGGGCCGCCTGATGGGAACGGCGCCTCTCCCCCACCAACGGCGGGTGCTCTAGCGACGGCAACTCTCGTGAGGGGCGCGCGGAACCGGCTCGAGGCTGCAAGGAAGACGCAGCGCGCGACGAAGGCGAAGGGAGGGGGCGAGGGGGGGCTCCTGCTCGAATTAGACCAAGAGGCGGGGGGTGGGTGGGCTCCCCTTCCCGCCCCCTGCCTCCCTCTCTCCCTCGCCACTTGCCCAAAGGATGAGGCTGTCGCACAGCAGCTGGTCAGCAGGTTTCCTTTCCATGACGGCGGCCTCCCCGCACGAGATGACAACCGCGCGGCGGCAACGGCAGCAACAGCGCCGCCACCAGGGTTTCCTACGCAACGCACAATGCGCCAACGCCGAGAACAATGCGCAGGTTGCGTGTCAGTGACGGCCGGTGTTACCTTAACTTTAACCACACCCCCACCCACCGACCATTAGCCCCTCCCCTCATCGGGTTTGTCTCTGAGGTTTCGGCCGGAAGCCGGCCAATTAGGAGTTAGGAAAATCAGGCCGACGAGGCTTTATTGGGCCGCCTTCCAGCTCCTTGGTGTCCATCCAAAAGGCGGCTCCCGGGAGAGGTTTACCTCGAATGGGAAAGGAGGCGGTCGGACTCGCGGGGGTTGGCTAGGGCGACCCCTGCAGGACTGATGCGGGAGCGCTTGGTCTTGAGGTCCGAATTGGGGTGGACGAAAATGAAGCTCTTCCGTTCACCTCCCTCGCCGATCCTACCAGGCGTTAGCCGGAGCGTTGTGGGCGGTTCTACCCATGCGTCCCCCTCCCACCCCCGTTTTTATTTTGCTTTTCTTTGGCTCTCTCGTAATACCTGACAGAAACCTGAAGTAAATGGAGACACGGCTGGGGAACCAGTGGCCTCCCACTTGCTTTGGGGACGTGTTGGGGGGGGGGGTGTCCTCTTCCTTAAATTTAAATTAAAGATTTTCATTCTATTGAACTGCCAAAACTAACTCAAGTATTGAGTTAATATTAACTAACTCAAAACCACACCACATAAAATAGTCAATGTCCCTAGGAGATAATGTGAGTCTTAAATTACTGATAGAAGCTATTAGAAGTCCAAACAAGATCTGAATTAGTTTAATCCTACTTTCCCATGCTAATTCCACCTCTAGAAAATAAACTTCTGCTTAGTATTACTCACCAAGACTGCTGCTTCTGATTTCTATCCATAATTTAAGATATTAAATCCTAATAATTTTATAAAGGGCCCATGCAAAAATCATATTGCCCAGAGGCAGAAAATGTATTTAATTCCCCTCCCTCTATTTAGAAATATTAAGTTCCTGCAGATTGTTTTAGAATTTTTTTGAACAGGAGAGCAGCTTTAGAGGATAATACCTTTCTATTTTCAGTAATTTTGGTTATCTTTTTAGTTTCATTTTTCGATGGAAAGCAGCACTGTTTGTTGCTGGACAATACGTAACTTTATCAAACAATCCCATTGATGTCTTTTTCAAGAGAACCTTAGATAGTTAGGCTTAAGGTACAATCTATTCACTCAAGTAATTCTCAAGTAAGCAAGAATATTTGACTATTATTTGGTGGGTAGATAGGCTCAACTATTATCACCTCATTTCTCCCTAAATAATATAAGATAGCCAAGTTACCAAAGAGTTTTGTTTTAATATGCGTATCTCAAACTACAATAGACCAAATTCAGAATTTCTTTTTTTCCCCTTCTATTTTTTATAGCAAGCAAGGATTATTATACAGTTACTTTCTTAAAACCTTAAGTTCAGGGCCAGTGGGAATTGTATTGCACAGGGAGTCATAGTGGATGACACTGAAAGCGACAGTCTCAGTGTCCAACTGCTTTCATTTTTAAAAAAATGGATGTAAGCAACATTGAGCTCCTGGAAGACTTGTGCGGACTAGAAATATTACACTTCCTGCATTTAACATGTTAAAAAGAAAATAGGCTGGAAACTTCTTCCTGACTTCGTCACTCTTCTTTTATACATGCAGAAAACTAAAACACACATGTACTTGGGAGCCCTAAAATGTTATGGTGCCCAAATTGGCATAGTCCAGTAGTAGAGAAATCTAGCTATTGATTATGTGTGACTTATTTGTTAAAATTTGCAAAAAGAAATATCCTAATATGTTTACATACTGTAATGGAACTTCCCAAGTACAAAAAACATAATCACGATTACCTTAAATGCATCTAGCTCAATAAATTGAAATAACAAATAGTAATATCTTCTGAGTTTTCACCTATTTCAATTTGAATAGTCATGTGAAAACAGATTTTCTTGACTATAGATATACATGTTATATGGTACATTTGATAATCTATAGACAACATTTTTGTGCCAATTTATATTATAAATACCTTTACTTATATTGTTATTCCAAAGTAAGCAGAGGCAACATTTTTAAGCCCACAAGTGAATGTGAATGCATTAAAAAATGCTGCCATGAAAACAGGGTTTGCCTATTGATTTTTATTTGAAAAATTTATGCAGATTTTCAGGTTATACATCAAATAACAGCCTGACTATAATCCATTTTTCCAGAATGCCATGGTAGTATTTTGTATCCAAAAGTACTACTCATAATACAAAACTATTACATCATATATTACCATCTTGATTTTGTGTTTTTTTTGCCCGAGTTGCATCACTATGCTTCCCAAGTTATGCTTCCCTACTTATCACTGCTCTCATCACGAGCTTATGACCAGTTTTTCTAAAAGCATGCGGGAAGAGAAGAAGCAACTGATTTGACAGGATGTAAAAAAAGAAGCTTTTTTAAAGGACAGATTAGAGGCACTTAGCTTTTCTGATAGGAATATATATCAATACATGAATTACGCATCGACAGGCACTGTCATGATGTTGATTATATTATAATTGTATGATAACATATTTGAATAGTTATTGATGGTTTTAACTTCAATGTGTCAGCTGAATATTTTCAAAAATGCTCATACACTGAAAATGGGTCATTCAGCTCACTTAGTAGAAATGTTAATCCTTTCTCATAAGATTAGCCACTTCAAAAATGAAAATATGCTGTGATGTTAGACTAAATGTTTTTATTTTTGTAAGTGTTTTCTTGTCTTTATCCTATTGTGCAATCAACTGATGGATATTAACAAAATCATGTATCAATCCATGCAAAATAATTATTTCAAATGCTACTGGAAAAGATAGCCAGTTGGTTGGAAGGAAAGTTAATGCATGTCAGAACTGCAGTTATTTTCCAGTTCTTTGTATAAAAACACATTGGAGAATTAGCAATCCATGTATTTTACCTTTGCTAAATCATCAATAGCCACAGAGACTACAAAGGGAGACTGAGAAAATATATGCTCTTTATTCAGCCCTGATTCTATGAAATAAATCTCATATTTTATGCTCACATTATGTAAAATAGTATTAGTATAGTAGATGGCAGTTCATTGGACCCAATTCACAATACTTCATTTATTTGAGTAGCAATATGGCTAAGGCATTTATTTCCCAATATGATTTATAATAATGGTGAAGAGACAGATTTTATATGGATTTTGAGGTCTCTGGCAAATAAGCAGCTTTTCCTTCAATAAGGATGAAGAATTTTTCACATTCATATCATGTGGCAAGTTACTTTGAAGTCAACTTCTGATTTCTGATTTTGTATACATATCAAATATATCAGATGTACTATATATTGATACAAAAATTATTTTACAATGTGTTTGTTTCCTTTAAATGGATA